TATCGAAATTATTAGACTCTCCATTTGCGCTCCCCGAGAACATCAATGGCAGAGATCCGTCCACCGACGATGACAATGGCAATAATAGAATGACGGCCATTGGATATCAATCAGGGAATAAAATTATAATGAGCTATTTTCGCTCATTGGGCCAATTAAAAAACAAAAAAGGCAATATAGAAAATCATTTCAATAAATATAAAATTACATTTTGTGAAAATTTTTTAAACTCTGATTTGAAACTGAAAGTTTCTTTTACCTAAACAGATCTCTCATTTTTTTTTTTTTTTTTTTTTTTTAAATATATATTTCTTTTTTTAATTTTTTTTTTAATTTTTTAATTTTTCACTTTTTTTTATTTCATTTCATTTCATTAAATTAATTTATTTTTTTATTTTCAACATTACTTTATAGTTTATTGTTTTAGGTTTAAAAGTAAAATGACACAATATTTTGGACAATATTTAATTAGACAATCTGAAATATTTTTTACATCAGAGTTGTCTTTTGCACTAGTTAATTTAAAACCAGTATTACCAGGCCATGTATTAGTTTGTCCAAAAAGAGTTGTACCAAGATTCAAAGATTTAACCAAAGATGAAATAACTGATCTTTGGGTATCCGCACAAAAAATATCAAGCATTATTGAAACTCATTTCAAAGGGGATAGTTTAACATATGCAATTCAGGTAATTATTTTTTTATAATATACTATACTATTGCAATTAGCATATACTAATCATCCCTTTTTACATTATTACCACATAGGACGGCAAGAGTGCAGGTCAAACTGTTGAACATGTACATATTCATATCATTCCAAGAAGACCAAAGGATTTTGAAGAAAATGATCAAATTTATACAGAGGTAATTATATAGATTATAGTTTTTTAAAATCAATATATAACCCATTCATTACTAACCATTATTAACTATCTAGATTGAAAAGGCTGATAGAAAACCAAGAACCTATGAAGAAATGGCTGCTGAAGCTGCCGAACTAAGACCATATTTTAGCAATTAAAATCAATAAATCAATTATTGTGGTTATTTTATCTGGACAAAATCAAATATAGATAATAATAATAATAGTTTTGTAAATAGTATTAAAAAACAATAATATAAATAAAATATAATTTAAAAAAAAAATGAAAAACTAAAATACTTTTATTTATTTGATATCAATGTTAAGGATTTTTTTTTTTTTTTTAATTTGGATTATTTATATGATTTATAGATATTAAATAATCCATATATATACACTTTTTATATTATTTTTTTTATATATATAAATAATTAATAAATGATATTAATTAATTTTTTTCTTTTTTGATCTCAGTCTATCATCGGAACCATCATCGCTATTTGTTTTTGTTATGTTATTATTATCACTATTTGAATATAATCTTGAATTTTGTTTTGGTGATGCCAATGAAGCTTGAGAGTTACTAGTGTTACAATTATTTAAATTTAAATTTGAAATACCGTTATTATTTTGATTGGTATTCTGGGTGTTATTATTATTATTATTATTATTATTATTATTATTATTATTATTATTAGAATTATTATTATTAGCATTATTATTTATATTAATATGAATATTATCAGTTGGTAAAGTCATTGCTGAAAAATCATAATAATTTGAAAAATCGTTACTGAATGGTAATGGAGCATTAACATTGGGTGAATTTAGTCCCAAATTTTGGAAACCTTTTGATAATTGGGGACTATTATTAACAATTGAATTGTTTGGGCTTATTGTTAAATCTGGTGAATAGATATTTTTTGATGGTGAAGAAATATTATTGGAATTTAAAGAAAAAGGATTATTTTGTGGCGCAATAAATGAAAATGGTTGGTTAATATTATTTTGGTTACCCATATTTGGATCTCCTACAAAGCCATTAAAAGAATAATTATATGGTGTAACAAAATTATAAGGTTGTTTAACATTATTACCATTGCTAATATTACCAATATTATTTATGTTATTGCCATTGCCGTTGTTATTATTATTGCTATTATTATTATTATTATTATTATTGCTAATGTTATTGTTATTATTATTGCCATTGTTATGGTTATGGTTATTGCTATTGTTGTTATTATTATTGCTATTGTTATTGTTATTATTATTGCTATTGTTATTGTTATTATTGTTATTATTGTTATTATTATTATTATTATTATTATTATTATTATTATTATTATTATTATTTATATTACCATTACTATTGTTGTTATTATTGTTGTTATTATTGTTATTATTATTGTTATTATTATTGCCCATACTATTATTGTTATTACTATTATTTGAGTTGTTTAAACCATTACTATTATTATTGCTATTGTTTCCATTACCTTGGGATATAAAATAATTTGGCATTGGTGGTGTTGATCCAACTGAACCAATACCTTTTATAAAAGTTGGGTCGTTTGGATCGAATAGTGGTGAATCAAAAGATGCATTTTGATTAATAAATGATAAATCTAAAGCGGCATCTCCAGTTTGTGGGAAAAATTCTGAATTATAGTTTACAGAACTTGAAAGATGTTTATTGGGTTCCATTGAACTGCCAGAACTATTTAAACTTGATGAATCTGGTGAGCTATTCATTGAGTAACAATTTGGATTTGGGAAAAAGTTTTGACTATTATTATTATTGCTGTTGTTGTTGTTGTTGTTATTGTTGTTATTACTATTATAACTGTTATTGTTATTGTTACCGCTTATATTTCCACTATTGTTATTATTGTTATTATTGTTATTATTATTACCGCCCATATTTATATTATTTATACTGCTATTCATGTTCATATTGTTCATGTTATTATTCATATTGTTCATACTATTATTCATATTATTGATGCTACTATTACTACTATTCATATTTAAACTATTTGAACTACCATTCATATTATTAATACTGTTATGATTAACACCATGATTATTTTTTTGAGTAGAATCATCTTCTTTAACATGAGTTTCATTTTGCTTACTATTATTTACACCGTTATTATTATTGTTACTGTTATTATTACCACTATTATTATTACCATTATTATTATTACCATTATTATTATTACCATTATTATTAACAGCATTACAATTATTAACTGAATTATTTATATTGTTATTTGGTGCTATTACTTGATTTTCGACAGAATTGGGATTTTCCCCTGGTAAATAAATATCATCTACACTAAATACTTGATTATCTACTAATCTTTTTAATTTAATATCACATTTGTGTAATTTTGCGACATTTTTAATTAAAGATGCTTTTTTAAAATATAAAACATGTCTTCTGTAAGTTGAGGCACAATGATCATCTGTAAAATCTCCAGATACATTCCAAGTTGTATTCTTTTTTGGTTGTGGATTAACCTCTTTGTAAAACTTTGGTGCTTTTGAAACTTCAATTGTCATTGTTGCTGATTCTTCATTTTGATATTCAATACTATTAGTAAAAAACAATTAGTACTATATTCTATCTTTTTTAATAATGAAACAAAACAAAACTATACTTACATAACTGCAGTTATATCATTAAAGCTTACTACCATTTTACTCTTTAATCCATATTTTAATAGCTCCCAAACAATTTGTTTTTTTGTAAAATAGAACTTTGCAATAATGTCGCCTGGGAATGATGCACTGGCCTCCCATTCACCGATTTTAATTTTTGTGGCTGGTAAACTTGATGGTTTAAATTTATTATCCAAAATTTCATCGTCGTCATTGTTTGATGGTAAAACAGGTCGAGGAGAATTTGTATCATTTGTAGCATTTTTTTTTTGGTCATTTATTTGTGGTGATGTATTTTGGATAGGGCTTGTAGAACCATTAGTACTACTATTATTATTATTGGTATTGTTATTATTATTATTACTATTACTATTATTGCTATTGTTATTGTTATTGTTAGAACTATTATTAGTGCTATTATTGTTTGATGGTGTTGTATTTGCAGGAGAATTTACATTTGAAGGATATCCATTCATCACATTTAGGCCGTTTGGTATTCCATTGGCGAATGCACCATTTGCAGACATAATACTGTTTAAATTTGCGGCACTTAATCCATTAATATTATATGTACTGTTAATTGGTAAGAAATTACCACCAGGATACATATTTGGGTTTGGATATTGATATAATCCTGGTGAAGGAACATAATATGGTGATGGATAGTACATTGGATAATATGGATAACCTAAAGGATCATTAACTAAATTTATTAAAAAAAAATGAAAATATTAATAAAAAAATTTTTAAAAAACCAAAGATATTGATGATGAAGTTAATTTTTCTTACCTTGGCCTGGATACTGTAATGGATTCATTGGGCCTAATGGGGAAGGTCCCATCCCACCTAATGTACCTGGGTAGCTGGATCTTCTTTGTTGTGTAATACCAATAGCTGGGTCCATATATTCAGAGTAGGAATTTGATAAATATTGTGGCTTGGTCATTGGAACATTATGTTGAAATAAGTTTGGTGATGATTGACCTAACCCAATAGGAGATCCAACTTGGTGTGCTGGTAAATGGCTTAACGGGTTTGGTGGTATATTTCCATTTATATTGTTATTGGGCGAATT